TGTGGCTTTATGAGGGAACGAAGTCATTTTGTTGGGTCGATTATGTCATTTTGGCCAAACTGAAGGGGTCATCCGGTTACCTCTTTGCCATATAGACATGTGTTGACAGATTTTTATATTAACTTTGAGTTTCCCATACCCTTGAGCCTAAATATGTTGATCGGAGCAAAACCCACGAGCATCAACACCTCCTCTATTGATCGTAGCAAATGTAGAAATATGCCTTTCTCCGGTCTTAGTGTCGAACCACCGCCGTGAAGCCACCGACCACCGTAGCTGTAACATCCCAAAAATACAACCTAAAATTTTTTGTTTAAAAACATTACTAAACCATAATATCAAACATCAAAAGATAAAATCCATGAATCGCGTATCTCAAAATGTCATAATAAATTTATCAAATCGAAACTAGTGTCAAGGTCATATCAAAATATCAGAGTCTAACTCCCAGGCTAAACTGTGGTGTGTGCCATATCATCATCCCGAGCCCTTCCTTTTGTTAGCTGAAGCACCTTAAACCAAAACTGAAACTGTAAGGACGAAGCTTAGTGAGCTCCCCCAAACTACCCCATACCATACAATAATATAATAAGCATATATTGGGCCTTGCCCATTGCATCGGACCGAAGTCTGGACCTAACTAGGGTCTTGCCCACTGCATCACACCGAAGTCCGGAACTGCATCGAACCGAAGTCCGGAACTGAGTAGTGCCTTGTCCACTGCATCAGACCGAAGCCTGGAACTGCATCGGACCGAGATATGGAACTGCATTGGACCGAAGTCCGGAACTAACTAGGGCCTCACCCACTGCATCGGACCAAAGTCCAGAACTGATTAACATAATCATAGCATGTAACATAAGCATATATATATATATATATATATATATATATATATATATATATATATATATTGCATACTACATCGAACCATAGTCCGGAACACATAACACATAACATGCTTGTATCACAAAGACATCAAGCATATTGAACTACTGCATCGGACTATAGTCCGAAACTACTGCTATCTAAACGGACCATCATTGTGGTCGTAGACCCGTTCCTACTGGAAAGAAAACTCACCTCGTAAGACTGTCTGCTAAAAAGTTGATCGAGAACTGTCTGAATGCTGCTCCGGTAACTCCCCGGCTACAATTCCCAAAAGACACTTAATCAAACATTGATAAATAATCTTAGGGTAAAATGACTATTTTACCCCTGGTCAAAGTCAACAACCTGTTGACCTGACCCGCCGAATTGGGCCGTAAACTCGTCAATTCCCTATCTTTCCTTTTGTTTACTTACCCGACTCTACTTGTCGAGTTTAGCCACAACTTGATGAGTTCCCCTTCCTTATTGACATCATGCCAACCTTTATCCGACCTGCCGAGTTGTATGATCAACTCATCGAGTTCACCTTCAACATAAGAACACGTCCAATCTGTGACTCGCCGATTTGTATGAACAACTTGTCAAGTTTGTTCTTATGGGTAAGGAGATTGCCTTGAACTCGTTGAGTAAGGGCGTAGACTCGCTGAGTCCCTCTACACTAAGATCCATGACTTAACTCACTGAGTCCTTACTCAACTCACCAAACAGACTCGCTTCTACTGAACCAGGAATCTAAGACTCGCAACCTAACTTGCCAATTCCTTTGCATGCAGTTTCCATTCGGTCGATTCTATTCAACTTTAGTTCATCCAATTCATAGATCTAAGTTTCTAGGACTATCTGAACACGCAAAGTTGCTAACTTTACGTGTATCTAAGAGGCAATGAAGCAATAACACTTAAATTTGGCTATTATGCGAGGTTACTTGACTAGAACCAAGACATGGCTACCGAAAGGTGGCCTTCTTGAGCTCCTGGAGCTCAAGAGAGGCTAGATCCGAGATATGGCTAGGTTACAAAGCTCCGTCACTAGGGATTTTGGGTTTTTTTAACTCAAAACCATCAATTTGGGGACAAACTAGATCTAGTAGTACAATAATCAAGATAAAAAGCTTTATTACCATAAAGGATGGCCAAAGAGGAGTATAATCTGGATCTACTTCTTCTTCCTTGAGTTCTTTTACCTTTTCCTTCTTCTTCTTGCTAAACAATGTACCAAAAATTCCTTCACAAGGGCAAAGATCACTCACACACACTTCAAGGAGGCTAGGGTTTCGGGAATAAGTCTCTGAGAAATTAAGGAGGCTAGTTTGAGTCTATAATGATGTTTAAATAGGGTACACGCCCTGAAAATTAGAGCTTCATCCAGACTGGCGGACTCGCCAGGTCAGGAATATGGACTCATCGAGTCGCCACACCAACTTCACGTGCTGACATGCTGCTACTCGACGAGCTAGGGCCACTAATTCGTCGAGTAGTTTCTAAAATAAGAAGAGAAAATGTAATGTTTTAAATGCATACCAGGAACGGGGCGTTACAACTCTCCCCCACTTATCTTAGACTTCGTCCTCGAAGTCTGGTGCTACTGAATCTGAAAATAACTCCTGATAATGCTCCCTCATCTCCTCCTCGGTCTCCCATGTCCACTCTGAACCCTTCCGGTGCTGCCACTGCACCTTCACTAGCTGAACCACCTTGTTCCTCAAGGTCTTATTCTTTCGATCGAAGATCGCAACGGGTCTCTCGACGTAATTCAGGTTGCATTGAACCTGGATATCCTCTAACGGTACAACTGCTAACTCATCCACCAAACACTTTTCGTAACTGAGACACATAGAAAGTGTTATGGATCTGGCTAATCTCTGCTGGAAGATCTAACCGATAAGCAACCCGACCCACCCGAGCCAAAACCCTAAAGGGTCCAATGAACCTGGGCCCCAGCTTGCCCCTCTTCCGGAACCTGATGACACCCTTCCAGGGTGACACTTTCAAGAGGACCATATCGCCTACCTGAAACTCCGAATCAGAACGCCTCCTATCGGCGTAACTCTTCTGCCGACTTTGAGCTGTCTGGATCCGGCTACGAACCTGCTGTATCAACTGTATGGTCTTAAGCACCACTACAGGGCTCCCCATGACTCTCTGACCAACCTCGCCCCAATAGATTAGGATCCTACACTTCCTCCCGTAGAGCATCTCAAAGGGAGGCCGGTCTATGCTGGAGTGGTAACTGTTATACGAAAATTCCGCTAATGGAAGGTATGTATCCCAACTGCCACTAAAATATAGGACAGATGCCCAAAGAATGTCCTCGAGATTCTGAATTTTCCTCTCGCTCTACCCGTCCGTCTGAGGGTGGAAAGCGGTGCTAAAAAGGAGACAAGTCCCCATTTCGTCATTGAACCGCTTCCAAAACCTGGAAGTGAATCGAACGTCTCGATCGGATACTACCGAAACAGGCACTCCATGACGTGCCACAACCTCTCGCACATAAATATTAGCTAACTTCTCGGCCGATATGCTCTCCTGGATCGGTACGAAATGTGCACTCTTGGTCAACCGATCCACTATGACCCAAATCGAATCAACTCCACGTGCAGTCCTAGGAAGCTTAGTAACAAAGTCCATGGTAATATCCTCCCATTTCTACACGGGAATGTCTAATGGTTGCATCCTGCCATGGGGTCTCTGGTACTCCGCCTTGACCTTCCTACAGGTCAGGCATCTCTCCACGTACCAAGCTACGTCCCGCTTCATGCATGGACACCAATAATCGGGTCGAAGATCTGTGTACATCTTCATCGCCCCTGGGTGGATGGAGAACCGAGACTTGTTGGACTCATCTATCAACACCTGTCGTACACCTCCCCAGTACGACACCCAAACTCTCCCATGAAGGGT